AAAAAANGCCTGAAGAAGAAAGGTAATCAAATTTATAATTAACTTACTCATGTGAATCTATTTTATATAATTAGAATCCCCCCTCATATTTTTGATTACAACAATATTTTTGGACAAATAATTTTAAATTTTGATTTTGATTTCTGTACTTAGAAATTTGAACAAACAATACTGTATTAACCTAATACAAAAGCCGATTATAAAAAATACTGACCCGAGCCATCGGAGTTGATCTATCTGTTTCCTGTCTATAGCCGTCTGAACCGACCAGACACTGGCCGATTGACGGTCTACTGACTTTCATGTTTTATTCAAACCCATAAATCTAAAGTGCGGAAATAGGTTACATACGTAATTAAACAAAGAAATAAAAAAGTAATGACGCGAAATTACCTTTACCTACCTACTAGCCTACTAACTAACAATGCATTTATCGAACTAAACAAAACTGCCATATTCGTTAATGATATATAGGTTAACAAAAACTAATGTAAATAAACAATTTTTAATGTGATAATTTCGTATTTTTTCTTAATAATACAATTTTAATTTAATAAGTACATTTGTCGATATTTGTATTGTAATATTTAGTCGCTTTTTGTTAAATCATTATTTTTTTCTTAGACGGCAAGTTTTATTTTATGAAAATTATCTTTATTATTATTGTATCAATCTTCGGATTTAATTAAATTAAAAGTAATTTAGAAAAAACGACTCCAAAAATTATTTTGAGTGCGTAAAAAAGCTAAATACGCCATCACATTTTATCAGGAACTTTGAAAATATATTTACTTTGAATTAGTATTATATTTATTTGTGGAATAATTGACTAGCTTGCTGTTGATAATTTATTAAAATCAATGTTGATATAAAAATGATACTCAAATCGCGATTTTTATTTGACTAATATGTATGACTGTTTTTATAATTCTTTTTTAAAATTCAAATAAAATGTATTAAAATAAATATTCCTTATAGCCATTTGTTAAAACTTTTCATATTTATTTCGTCACAGAAATCAAGTTTTACAACCAATGGTGGTTAAGTTAAATACAGTAAGTACTTTTAGAAGTACGAAAATATAATTTCGCTAGATAGGTCGTTTCAATCGGTGTTGTTATCACTTACCTATTTAGATAGAGTACAAAAGTTGATACAAGTAAAGAGCGTTGTCTTAGATTTTGCTAATTTTAGGATGCAAAAATGGCATGCATCGATTNATTATTCTCTTAGCACCTTACCTAAACCTTGTCAGATTTGCCAAAGGGAATGGTCTAGTCCAACCCTGAACCCTGTCTATAGTTGAACATTGTTATTATAGGTATGTGAAATTTATTACACCAAAGCTTCGTTAAATACATTTTAAATAATATAATTTAAAATTAAAATTAACATAATACGATAATATCTAAAATACCTATTCTACTTACTGGATTCAACCGTTGCAGTTGATTTGAAAGTTTAAGTTTATTAACTAAAATTAGGTACTTGGGTGTTATAATCAGATAGGTAGATAGAATATATGATGTTCATCTGTGGATGCACATTTTCGTTGAATAAGTTATAATATTATAGAAATATTTTCGATATTATTGTGCGTATATTAACTATCACCTGGGCTCATGACTTTAAGGATTTGCATATTTTTTTTTTAGTGATCTTGGAAATACTTATGCATGTGAGCTATACATTTGTTTCAGGAAATTCCGAATTTACATTACATATTTTGAAGCTTAAGTGCTGTGTTCTTTTTTTTCGTGTGTTAATAACCGCTATTTCAGTACCATTTAAGTGCTATTTCGCTTTTTTTGTATGCTTAACACCATTTCAATACTATAGCCTTCAAATTGTACTTATATAATTATTCAAGAATAATTTAACCAGTCTTGAATGTCTGCATTTTCATTTTCGTCTATTAACATCCACTGCTACTCAGTAAGACGGTAATCTTATTGATAAGTAAACCCCTGTAACGTGCGTTAATATTTTATTTTTATAGTTTCTAAATATTTCGGTATCATTATTATTATTATTATTTTGCATATTTTATTATTTTTAGTACATATTATTACGCTTACAACAACCTTTTTTAGATCTACAAGTTATGAGCCCTGATTATCATATTTACATTTGTATCACTAAATAATAATATGACGTGTAATTATTGTATAGTCGTGAGTCGTGACGTAATTCGAGGTCTCGGGTTATAATTCCCTGGAAAAATATGAAACGTTTTTATCGGATTTATTTTTTTACGGTTTTTATTACTATTATTATTTTGTATATACTAAAATATAAAACACGATGTTTTTAAAATAATATTTAAAACATTTTTTTTTCCAAGACAAACGTTCTCGGATGTATAACCTAAATAATATCAACTAGATTTTGTTTATTTTTCTTTCAACTGAAGTACAAAGAGTACCTACCTATTTATAATGTCGTTTAAACGACACTAAATAAACAGACGATACAAAAATGTAAAAATTAAACACGAGTTATTATAAGACAAAATTGAAAAAATGACTAAATAAAAAAATATTTTGCTGGATTTCTTAAGGTTTTTAAATTTGTTTGTTATTATATTGTTACATTAGTTATTTTGTATAATATTCGTGAGTACGCAAATATAAAAACTGACGATCAAAATAATTTGATACAATGTTAATTCGTACACAGTTTATCATAATGCGTTTATTTTATTTTTTGAACAGGTATCTGGTATAACAATATGTATATATTATGAATCTAGAATATATTTTTATTTTAGACTTTGTGTCCAGCACAGAATAATGTAATCTTAATATTAAAACGTGTGTTTTGTTCTTCGTAAACACTTCTGAGATTATTAAAAATGCTCCGATTAGTACACGCCGTACTTACCTTAAAAGATGTGGAATTTTTTTCGAGCCTGGCGGTACTAACCTATTATTCGAACAATAATTTATCTAGGTTCCCGACCGTGTTTTCTAAAAATTAAAACAAGCAGGATACAATAATATATTATAATGAATATTTTAACGATGAATTTTTGTTAACGAAAAATGCATCAGAGAGAAATTCGGTTAAACGTATTTTAATAAACATATAATAAACATTTTATTATTAATTTGTAACTACGAAATAAATTACAATAATTGTCCGTTGTAGTTTTTCGTCTTCAAAAATCAGACAAATTTTACCGTTTTTCGCAATTCCTGAAGTTGATGATTAGAAAACCATTTCTAGTAGAAAAGTTGTTCACAGACAGCCAAAAATGTATTTTAGTTGATTTAGTAGATCCGCTCAGAATCGTTTTCGATTGCAATAGTCTTTCGTTTTTTTTCATTAGGTATATAAACTAAATTACTCTTTACGTTTCAAACGTCCTACAGTGACCTATCCATGGTGTGAAGTATATTTGGCATTTTTTTTACCTGCATACATCAATATGCGATGTGTATTCATCTAGTTTAAAAAAATAAAAAGCATATCTAGGTACCTACAGTACGTTTATATGCGTTAAATTATTAATGTTCAAGGCCTGATCCATTTGATAAAATAAGTTGTATTAGGTTAATTTAATATAAAAATATAAAATATGCGATATTAATAATTAATACATAATATTATAATAAATATTTACCATATTCTATGCTTATGAAAAAAAGCTTTAAATATTTTTTAGGCATGTATTTCTTAACTATTTTACTCAAAATTAATTGGTTTTACGGTAGAGTTATCCACATGCGATTTAATTTAAAACGTTTTTAATTAGTACGAAAATAATATTGTTAACTAATAAACTATTAATCAAAAATTATAAATCACAACAAGAAATCGTACGAATTTCGAGTGTCCTAAAATATTTAAAAAAAATGAAATTACATATTTTCAGGATTTGTTTTTTTTCCTATTTATCTATACATTAATTTATGTATACGTGCGACGATTAGTTAGGAGGGGGACATAGGTGCGTTATTTCCTACTAATAATGTGTAAATAATATAGTACGTAGTCGATAAATTATTTCCTCATTCTTTAGATATACGCAGTACGTGTTATTAATTTTCACGGAACACGTAATATTATTGAATTGTGTACCTATTCAAATGTGATATCGAATTCTATTTCATACATGCATTTTACTTATGAATACCTATATGATCAGTGGCGTAACTGGATACAAATATAGAGGGGGCGAATAATTTATCCAACATATTCAAAACCCTGATCCCCCGCCCCTGGTTTAAATATATTTGTATTGTATTTATTGTATACAGTACACCTATTGTTTGTATTTGCACGAGTCTTAAAATTAATTTTATGGTTTAGAAACAAATTGTAGATAGCAGGTACTAGGTACTAATATTCTTAAATAATATTAAGTAGGTACCTACATAATAGTTCAATAATAAAAAGTGTTGTACGGTAAATAGCTTAAAATAGTAACTAATATAAATATAATTTACACTTGTATTATATTTTGTGAATATATTACATTCTTACTTAACTTATAAGAAGATTCAAAGATTTATTGTGTTGGGCTATCAGGGGAGGGGGAACAAAATGATACTTTTGCCAACCCATAAAAATGTCAGTGGGGGAACGTGTCTTCTATTGCCTCCACAATTACACCACTGTTTATGATTAATATGAGCCTTTTTTCTTCTGTTTTACCTATGGTCCATGTCTCACTTCCATACAGTGCTACGCTCTTAACATAAGCCTTAAGTAAGTTTTGCCTCACTTTTATGTCAATATTTCTAGATATAAACATATTTTTCTTGCTTTGAAATGCACATTTAGCCTGGTTTATTCTGCTTATGATCTCCCTGGTACTACGGCCGTCCTCAGTTATCGTACTTCCCAAGTATTTGTACTCATTCACTTGCTCTAGTGTGTCACCATCTAGTGCAATTTTAGTTTGAGTTCCTTCGTTACGGCTACAACAAAGACTTTCGGTTTTGCTTTGTTTATTTTCATATTGTATTCATTTTTCATTGTTAAGTTCATTATTTCTAAGATATTCTGTAGATCTCTTCATTGTCTGTTATTACCGCTATGTCATCTGCAAATCTTAGCATATCTATTCTTTCACCATTTATCCTTATCCCTACTTCAATTTCTTCTCTTACTTNCAGGTTAAAAAGGGACGGAGACAGTGTGCATCCCTGCCTCACTCCCTTCCTAATTTCTGCTTCTTCCCGGCTATTTCCACATCGTATCACTCCTATTTCTTGTTCGTACAAGCTTTTAATTATTCTTCTATTCTTATATGTCACCCCGACTTTTTTCAAGATTTTAAATATCACTTTCCAATTCACATTATCAAAAGCCTTTTCCAGATCGACGAAAGCTATAAAAGTTGATTTTCTTTTTCTATTCTGCTTTTCAATAACTTGTCTTAGTGCTAAAATAGCTTCTCTAGTGCCTTTTCCTCTCCTAAATCCAAATTAGTCCTCAGTTAGCAGTTCATCTATTACTCGTTCCATTCTTTTTAACACAATTCGGGGAAGGATTTTTTACGTATGTGATATTAAACTTAGTGTTCTATGTTGTTCACATGTTTTTGCCGTTGTTTTTTTTGGAATCGGTACAATTATACACTTTGTAAAATTATTTGGCACTTGTCCAGTTTCGTAGCATTTTTTAATCATTTCATAAATGATCTTTTTAGTTTTCTCTCCACAATTTTGTGAAGAAAATATATGAATTACTATTTGCAGAAAGAGAACATATTCCTAAAACTTAATTTTACAGATCAGTTTTTTGAGCTAGGCGTAAAAATTAATAAATCGTATTATTATCCGTACATTTAAAAAGATAAGATAGGTGACGGATGCTGTCACTGGTGTAGGTGGGAAATTGGGAAGGTAGGATATAGACGGGAATTTAATGTATACCTGTAAGCAACGATAAACTATTACTTACGTAAAAACGATTCTGAGTTCAGTTGATAGTAATGCTTTGTCAACAATATATATGTCATATTATAGTAAAATAATTGAATAGGCTCTATATATTTTCTTTAATAATATTTGTTTAATGTTGTACCGATTTTCTCGGTTTTTCCATGTTTTATCCTGGTTTTTTATATTTTCTGGAAAAACTCTTGAGAAAATCGAAAAGTGACCTCTTTAAAGTACCTTTCTAGTGAAATTTCCTTTTAGAAATATTGCTATCATTAAAAGTTGGAGTGAAATTGCTGGTAGTAAAGTTGTGTACAGAAAAAATGAAGGCCATAATATATTTTAACTAATACCTACATTTTTTATATTTTCCCGTTTTTTTCAGTTTTCCAAATTTGATGAGAAAATCGAAAAATTGGTTACCTAAAGTATCACCTCACACCAATTTTTTTTCAGAAAAAATGCTACACTTAGAAATCCGAGCAAGTTTTCTGGTAGAAGAAACGTTTATATATATAAAAAAAAAAAATAATAAACATCTTCGTAAAACCATAATTCCACTCAGAATCTAAAATTAATTATCTCGATAGTTTCTAAAATTTAACACGAACAACTATAGTAATAAAAACATTTTTTTCTTTTATTCTTTTAAGCAATTCGGAAATGAAATTATTTAATAATTTATTAATTAAAGTTTATTATTTAAGTTGTAGCGAGTTGGCCACTCGTAAATTTTTTCCCGATATCTAGAAACAGAATCTTTTGGAATATAAGTTTTCATACATTTCAAATCATTCATTTTTTAATTCATTATGGAATTTATTTAGACGTACAGCGGCTTCTTGGGTAACTTGATTTGCGAAATATTTTTTTATTTTTTTTATTTTTATATTTTATAAATATTTTAAAATCAATGCGAATGAATAATATTTTTTGCAACACAAACTCAGAAATATATCGAATAAAAATTACATTAATAAATAATAGATAAGAAATTGTTGGCTGTTAATGATAAGATCTAGACAAAAACCTATGAGTGACTTTACATAAAAACCACGTTGTCACAGTAATTTATTAAGATCATTTTAGCTCAGAATGTTACATTATCCTAGACTTTTTCCAGACTTTCTCTTTTTCTGCTCTAAGCACTAACTTTAGCTGTTGATATTTCCATAATGGTTTGATGAACTATAGTGTCATTTTTACATAAAGTATGTACCTATTCAATGTAAATATGTATAAATCCGGCAATAACTAAATTTCGTTAGAAATTAAACAAGTCCCCTTTCTGCAATTAGTGTTTTATATATTAAACATATAGTAATACAAAACAATATATTATTCATACTTATATTAATACTACCTAAAATACATTTTATTAATATAACGAATTTATATAAACTGTACTACATCATTATGAGAAAAAAAGGAATCGGAAAAGGGGGCACGTGTCCTCAGTGACCTCCCCCTCCTTGCTACGGCACTAAAATCAATTGGCATTTGCCAGGTTAATACGGACTTACTAAGATCCGCATGGGCCAACAATTCCTGGCCCAGTTGTTTTGGACGTATAGATTATATTATAAAAGCCCGACACGACTCAGTTCATACATTTCTTTTTAAAGTCCGGTTCGGTCCTGTTTAAACATATTTTTCAAAGCCCAATCGGGTTTAAAAATATTTTTCTAACCCAAACAAGCCCAAATTTTTAGGTGGTGTACATAAATGTTATATCGTAACATGTATGTGTGTATGAATGTACGAATGTAGGTACTTTGTTACTCCAAGTGCCTTTTAAACGTAATATGAATACATACCAATAAATGATCTTATGTTTTTTATTGTTTTAGGAGTCTATCTAATTCTGAGATTGAACTCTAGTATTACTATTTGGTATCACGATAAAAAAAAATATATCTTAAAGGGTTTATGTATGCCACCTGTAATCAAATAAATTCTACAATTTTTTAAATTACAAGAAAAAAATATTTTAAACTATTATGTTGTTTCAAATATAAAATCTGCTCTGTAAAGTATTGTATAAGTTCTTATTTGAAAATCAAAAATACGTAGTGATTCCAGCCCCAGAAATAAGGGTGGAAAAAAATAACGGTAATGTAACATTTTATAGAACAGCTTGTTTCTTAAATTGACAAAAAAAAAATATTAATACTTTTCGAGATAATGAGTGTCTTATCAAAAATGTCTGTATAGAGATGAAGACTGAGACGAATAGAAGAAGAAGAAGAGATGCAAATGTTATTTTCTATACTTAACATAGAGGAAAACGCATTTATTATTATTGTAGTTGGGTTTGATGATATTATGTAAGCGAAAACGAAGAAAAAATCGGCTACATCCGAGTTCCAACCCAATAAACTATTTTTTTTATACCAATTCCATCCCGGCTCAAAATAGAGAGATTTACTATTTCCGTCCCTGTTGAAAAAAAAGTGCATACCAATTCCATTCCTAATAAAAGGAAGGTTTATTATTTTTAAAGACGATTTCTTTGTTTTTCCTAATTTAAAAAAATTATTTTATTTATATTAATTATTTGAAGTAGATCATATCTATTTATTCGATCTATTGATCGTACCTATTTGATTATACCTTATATTATAAACACGTGGACCGTCATGGGATCTTGTATACATGTACAATATACAGAGTGTCCCACAAAGATAAACCCATTGTAATGTATGTCATGGTATGAACATAATCAAATGCTGTTTTTTTATAATATTCACGTGGATAAGAACTAAACGTATTTATATTGAAACTAATTTATATGCTTTAATAAAAAACCTAAAAAAAAAAAAAAGTAACTATTTATTTTATTATTTTTGAAAAATGGTAGAGTTTATTCATCTGAAAATGTTCACGCATGAACTTTTTTATTTTTATTAAATTCGTTTTTTTTAATAGTTTTTTAAAGTTCAAAGAAATGTAACTATAATTATGCAGCAAGCTGTATAATCGAATTCTCTAATTATAATTATTACGATTACGGATTAATTGACTGTACACTTGTTTTCTCTGAACTTATACCTATAAGCCACTATAAACAAAATTTATCAATTTAAAGGCTGCATAAATAGATATAAAATTAATTGTATAACATACAAAAAAAAAAAATTGTTTTACGCATACATACATTTCGTAGTATACACTCCACTTTTCGTACTACACAAAACACTACACACTTGGAAAAAAATTTGGATAGCAGATATTTAGATATTCTGTGTTGAAACGTACCCGGCATACCTTGTAACTCATCCGCCTATGGTTGCGTACAGTTATAAATTAAATTACCCTATATATCTTACCTTTTCAAATCTACCTACAACAGTGGCACACCCAAGGTGCGAATTATTTATAATTTATATTTTTTTTCTTTTAACACCAAGATTATAGTTTGTTGTTCTATGTGAACTTCGTATTGACTTATAACTGAGCCAGTACAACGTTAATATATATTTGACAATATACGAACAAAATGTCGACTACATAAAAAAAAAAAGGTACTGTGCCGGATGTATATGAAACTCCATCCCTTTTTTTGGAACTTGATACACGTTATGATGAGAAAATAATAATATAAAATAATGCCCGAAGCCAAGAGATCACGAATCATGGCTCGTGTATCACATTTAAGCTGAGATTATAGCTTAGGTGTGTATACGTTCATGGTCTAATAATCTTCAATTACTTATCCCAGTCTTTTCCTTTTCGCATTAAATAAATGAAAGATTTTATCAAAGGGATTTTTCGCAATATTTTTATTTAGTATATGTACCTATCAACCAGAGTTGGGCACTATTCAAATGATTTTTTACAATATTCGAATGATTTTAAAACCGAATGCATTCGAATGCAAATTCATTCAAATGATTTCAAAACGGATTATTCGAATATATTTATATTCGAATAATTTTCAATTATAATATTGAGCTCTATACAAAAGTAATGCATTTTCCGTAATTGCCTAAAGTCTAAATCTATATAATCGCACGGGTGATGCTTATCTTAACTGTCTTAATACCGGTCTATCAGTGACGAAAATAAAATTGATTATTTTTTAAATAACCAACAAATGTTTAAATAAATAACACGAACGAAAATGATTTGAATAAATTTTAATTCGATAGTCAGTTTTAAAATTATTCGAATAATTGTCTAGATAAAATTTGCCCAACGCTGCTATCAACTAATAAATAAAAAAAAACCCCTTTCGCTTTGGATGATATTCAGTTTTTTTTTTTCATCGAGTTATTTGATAGTATAGTAAGTTTTTATAACGGTTATATTTTAAAATTAAAAACATTGATTAATATTCTTTAGTTTCTCGAGACTACTTATAAAATAATTACCTCGCTAATGTATCGCGAGTACCCTGCATAAGATCCGAGCACGTAAAGGCTATCAGTTTCACAATAAAGTGCAAAGTTTATTTTCTCAGTATAACTCTTTTATTATAGGAATGGCGAAAACGCTTAGGAAATTTCACTTACAACAACTTTAATACAAATACAGGAGGTAGGTAATTTAACACTTTTTGGTGCTCGAACTTTTCGGGCTGTTGCCATGTATAAAATAACGAAAAACCGAACAAAATTAAAAACAGTGATCATAAATTCAAGCGAATGTAGGGAATTTTCACGGTTGTTTCCGGGCTTCCGGAAACTCGAACGGTTTTAATACCTCTACGTCATCCGTTTTTCGACTTTTGCCGTTCAAGATAATAT